ATTTATTTATGAAGACTGTGCGAGAAAAAACATTAATCAGAATTAAGCTCTTCAATTCCGCTCATCTCTGCATTACCGCCGGAGTAGTTATGAATAATCATGCACTATTACTAGGTCACATACGAACATGCATTCTATATGTAAACCAAAGTTGTAAATCGAGTTACCGACTGAACGCAACTTAAAGTGACATTTGGTTGACGATGTAGGTTATCAAACATTCATAGCCAAAGCTCAATAAATGAAAATAAAATATCAACCAATATTTATTAACAATATTTGTTATTGTTTGTTTACAAATGTTTGGTTTTTATTCCATAATTAGCTGAGTGCTAAAAGAGGGTTCCAAGATTTTTGAAGTTATACTTCTTTAGGCGCGTTATGAAAAAAATGGGTGCGTGTACTTATGTAGGCGCGTGAGAAGTTATCCTTCTTTGGCATCGTTTAAAATTAGTTTTTAATTGCATGCAAATAATTAATTACAATAAATTAGTAAAAAGTCTGGAAAAGGACACAGTCAATAAAGTTCAGTTTTAATTTGAAAAAATAAATAAATAATCAAAATATTCAATTAAAATCGCTACTGAATATAATTTATTAGAACATATGTGATTTGCACTTGTATGAAACTCAAACACGTATTCCGAATATACAAACTAGAAACATGTGGATAAATATTATAAATATGAATACCTATAACTGTTACTTTATTACAAAAAATAAAGATGTGGTTTTTGGTTCTACTACACCAATGGTCAAGAGATGGCGCTGTAGTCTCCTGAATCGCGCTTTGGTTTCGTTGTTCCAGATTAATAAATACTTTTGATATTATAAATATGAATACCTATAACTGTTACTTTATTACAAAAAATAAAGATGTGGTTTTTGATTCTACTACACCAATGGTCAAGAGATGGCGCTGTAGTCTCCTGAATCGCGCTTTGGTTCCGTTGTTCCAGATTAATAAATACTTTTGATAGGCCTTCACAATGCAGTCGTTAGCACCCACTAAATAGAGATTCTATTTCTATTTTGTTGGTAGATTTTCTTAATGTGCGGTAAACACAAAAGTAACGCATGAAGTTGGTCGCTAAAGCGACCAACTTCATGCTGTTAAAATTTTGTGTTACAGTGATGCGCGCGCATCTTAAAATTTCACTCTCATCATTTTTTCATAACGCGCCTAAAGAAGTATAACTTCAAAAATGATGAGAGTGAAATTTTAAGATGCGCGCGCATCACTGTAACACAAAATTTTAACAGCATGAAGTTGGTCGCTTTAGCGACCAACTTCATGCGTTACTTTTGTGTTTACCGCACATTAAGAAAATCTACCAACAAAATAGAAATAGAATCTCTATTTAGTGGGTGCTAACGACTGCATTGTGAAGGCCTATCAAAAGTATTTATTAATCTGGAACAACGGAACCAAAGCGCGATTCAGGAGACTACAGCGCCATCTCTTGACCATTGGTGTAGTAGAATCAAAAACCACATCTTTATTTTTTGTAATAAAGTAACAGTTATAGGTATTCATATTTATAATATCAAAAGTATTTATTAATCTGGAACAACGAAACCAAAGCGCGATTCAGGAGACTACAGCGCCATCTCTTGACCATTGGTGTAGTAGAACCATAAACCACATCTTTATTTTTTGTAATAAAGTAACAGTTATAGGTATTCATATTTATAATATTTATCCACATGTTTCTAGTTTGTATATTCGGAATACGTGTTTGAGTTTCATACAAGTGCAAATCACATATGTTCTAATAAATTATATTCAGTAGCGATTTTAATTGAATATTTTGATTATTTATTTATTTTTTCAAATTAAAACTGAACTTTATTGACTGTGTCCTTTTCCAGACTTTTTATTAATTTATTGTAATTAATTATTTGCATGCAATTAAAAACTAATTTTAAACGATGCCAAAGAAGGATAACTTCTCACGCGCCTACATAAGTACACGCACCCATTTTTTTCATAACGCGCCTAAAGAAGTATAACTTCAAAAATCTTGGAACCCTCTTTTAGCACTCAGCTAATTATGGAATAAAAACCAAACATTTGTAAACAAACAATAACAAATATTGTTAATAAATATTGGTTGATATTTTATTTTCATTTATTGAGCTTTGGCTATGAATGTTTGATAACCTACATCGTCAACCAAATGTCACTTTAAGTTGCGTTCAGTCGGTAACTCGATTTACAACTTTGGTTTACATATAGAATGCATGTTCGTATGTGACCTAGTAATAGTGCATGATTATTCATAACTACTCCGGCGGTAATGCAGAGATGAGCGGAATTGAAGAGCTTAATTCTGATTAATGTTTTTTCTCGCACAGTCTTCATAAATAAATATTATTAAAAATCGTTTATTTTCTTTTCTCAATTTTAGTAAATAAATTCTATTAAAAAATCGGATGTTTTTTCTCACTTAATCTTAGTAAATAACTTTTATTAAATAAAAATTGTGTGTGTCAGCTCCGACGCACGACTGGAGTTTATTCCTTAAGTTCGATAGTCTAACCAGACGCAAAAAGAGTTTATTTAACTTAAAAAAGATTGATACTGTATGAAAGGGTAAATTAACAAATTAATGAAAATAATATACATATCTTATATATAAAATTCTCGTGTCGCGGTGTTTGTGGTTAAACTCCTCCGAAACGGCTTTCCCGATTCTCATGAAATTTTGTGTGCATATTGGGTAGGTCTGAGACATCTATTTTTCATCCCCCTTAATGTTAAGGGTAATCCACCCCTATTTTTTTTTAATTTTAGATATTTTTTTTTATGATTTTATGATACGTCATACACAAATACATACAACCCTAAATTTTCACCCTTCTACCACCAACTCCTATTTTTTATGGCGGTACGAAGTTTGCTGGGTCAGCTAGTATTATTATACATTTATTATAACTAATCGACGAAATATTTTACATTAAACTTTTTACAATAGTCAATTTCAGATGTGCATAAATATATCATTAGGAATGTTGATAAATTATGTAATTATTATTATCAGACTATTATCATTTTTTTAAATATTAATTAAATCAACATTGTCTGCATTATTAATTACAGTGACAAGTAGTTTATGGTAACTAAAATAAGACACATGGACGTTCGTAGATACGTGGTTCACGAATCTTGAAAATACCGCATCAATGGTTGTACCATACCTCGTTGTCCCCATTGCTCTATCAGAAATAATATCTAAATTCAGTTCAGATTTTAAAAAAAATATTAATGTCAATCCGTCATCTTTGTTTGTCAAAGTTGCGCGACATAGGATGCGCACCAAAAACGTAACGAGGTCATTCATCGATAAATTTTACTCCTCACATTTTTCTCATACCGGGCCCCTTATATATGCAAATCGATTCTTAAGGAGTAAACTCCAAAACTTTTTTGCTCACTCTACCTTTTTCGTTTGAATTGACAGCTATGACGTCACAATATGGCGCCCGTCGATCCTATTCTTAGTTGAATCGCATTATAGGTTTCAGAACACTACGTTACAGGTGGACAACTATAACACTTAAGAATATGAAAAATATATAGCAGGTAGCCGATTCTCAGACCTACGGAATATGCATATAAAATTTCATAAAAATCGGTCAGGCCGTTTCGGAGGAGTATGGTAAGTAATGCCTCCTCTACACATAGACAGATGCGTCCGCGGACGTCGTCAGATGCATCGGCAGATGGATCACCACGAACCGACCACACGTCTGTAGGTGGATCAGTCTGTGTTAATTCTCGACAGACGCAACTCGCACGCACGCAACATATTTCAAAAAATGGATATTGAGACCGTAACTGCCGCAGCTATTTATTTATTTAGCACTTTTAACTACTACTTGTCTGTGCATCGCAGTACAGTTATTTTAAAGAAATGGATAAAAAGAAGGTGGTGGATGCTGGCTATACACAGAAACAGAACAAAGTAAGTGGAATAGAGACTAGGTCGGCTAATTTTCTGCTTGATACAAACCAAGGAATTTAAATGTTTCATCAGTGCTCATATTAGCCATTTTGCCTAACGAAAGTACCTGCCTAACAAACGAAAAAATAAATTGTAAGCACACGTGCACTCTCATTCGCAACTCCGATACTACTGATGCGTCGTGAGACGTGTGGACGGACGCCGGACGCTCGCGCTGAAACCCTTTGTTGCGTGCCACAAAAACCGACAGCAAACGGATTGAACGCAGACGCATCTGCAGACGTTAAATACCTACCAGAGACGAGCAAACTACCCCGTCTACACGTCGGCGGATGCATCCGCAGATGGCATCTGCAGATGCATCTGTCTATGTGTAGAGCAGGCATAACATTGTAACACGAGAATTTTATATATAAGGTATAAAAATATATCAATCCCAAAAATCCCGAGATTCATTACAGTTAATCCCTTAAATTACGGGACTAAACGGTGAACGGTGCAGGGGCATTGTCTGGTTTTTAGTGGGCCCTGCTCATTTTATCCGGCCCAAGGGTTGGTTGTAATGAGCAAGGAGGAGTCCCACATACCTTCTCCACGCTCCCCCGGTGGTTGAAGGATGCGTAAGGCATTTCCCAGACACAAAAAAAGGGGCCGAACGCGTAGCCGTGGCCGCCACTAGTGGCTCAATGTGCACTTACTCTGGGGTCACTACTGGCTGCCACTAAGCCAATAGTAGCTGCTAATAAGTCACTAGTGGCCGCCAATAGGCGACTAGTGGCCGCCAATAAGCCACTAGTGGCCGCTACTAAGCCACCAGCGGTCCATTGGTTGGCGGCTTAGATCCTAGTTGAATGTTTGACAGGGAGACTAAGTAATCTATCTATGATTTATATACATATTTTGAAATATAGATTTCTGTCTGACTTCATAGTAACATATTGAGTGTTTATATTATTATTATTCCTATACCAAGTGTTTCTTGGAATAGGAATTTTGAAGAAACATGTAGAATTCACGGAGCCGAGAAAAATAATTAATATCATTCTAATGGCTGAACTAAACTTGGTCGTTACCCCGAATACAATTGCCAATGGAATTCGGGTAAACGACTAAGTGTAAATCACGAACCTAAAAAAAAGACGGACGTAACCTCGTCTAATCACGAGTGAAGCATGCAAATGGCCGCCCGTTTACCGTGTGTGCGTGATTTGGGGGTTGTCATATAAGTCATCAATTTCCCTATTTTTTAAATGTCTCAAACTAAAATATTGTTAACACTATGAAGGTAATCCCGTAATTGTAATATGTATTTATTACAATAACGGGATATTTACCATGTTTTTATTAGATGTGAGCTCCCGATATTTCAGCAATTTAATCGGGTGCACTTTAGAAACACAATGTTGGCCTATCAAACATCATTTTTATGACGACCATAAGAAAAATAAAACACTTGCTACGTATAAAGAAATTTATTATTTACATAAAAATGAAGTATCTGGTTAATATCATACATTAATATACCTAAATCACGCAGATTAAAGCATTAGTGCTTTAATACTTTAGTACTTAGAGTTTTAATAGGGTACCTAATATACACAATACCTGCAACAAAGAAAATATTGTGCTTGACGATGTTGTCGGCTGTTGATTGTTTTCTATTCCTCTAATGTTTGTCGATATCTTAAAAAAAGTAAATAACGATATTAAATGTTGTATTAAAATTCAATAGTTAAGTATCTTGTTCATAAAATTCTCAATACCTGCGGTATAGGTGGAGAAGTGCTTTGTGTTTGTGTTTTTGGAGAGTTTGAAAGTAACTGCAAGTAATAAGATAAATAAGACTGAAAGCCGCCAAAGAACAATAAATTATAAACAAATAGTACAAATACAGTATCTCATGCTTACCCTTTTTGGAATAGCGTACGGAATCAAACAACGTAGCCCCTTAGCTGTATTTTTAAAATCTAAATCATCAAAATGTGCACTGCACTCAGTACTGGCAGGTGATGGGTTCCAATTGTTATTCCCATGCAGTATCGAATAATTAAAACCCAGTCATTTCTACGGTTTCTATTTCTAGGAAACTTATTAGAAAGGAGGCAATACAATAATTTATATAGAAAGAAGAAAGAATGAAATTTTATTGACCTTGAAACACATATACAAAAACAGAACACAGAAAGACAGGCCAACTAGGTCCCTGCCTCAGCTTAATACTACAGCAACACCAGGGCTGCTGCAGCGCTGATAATTCTGGCAGGGTTGACGAGACATTTTTAATTTAATAATAAAACAGAACATTAGAACCATACCAATCAACATGACAAAAAAAAATAACAACAAAGGCTGAATGCTTTTAGTATCTTAAGCCTTAAAACAAGAGAAATGAATTTATTAAAAAATAAAATAAAAATGAAGTAAGATTAATCTATGACAAACTAGAACTTACAAAAACCAAAACTAAAACCAAACAATAAAAAACACAAAGAAATAATTAGTTACAATCAGTTGCTAAACACAAAAAAGTTTGCTACATATTTACATTTAAATAAACAACAAAGAACTCACAGCAAGAACATACCATTTTATAAAACATATAAAATATGCTATGAATAATATAGCTTCTATTCTTTTCCTTTTGGGATACGGAACCCTAAAAAGTTACGAAATCGGACCTTACCGAGTCACAAATGCAAGAAATACAAAATTCCCTACTTTTAGGGAAAATTTCCCGTAAATAAAGTAGCCATACAATACAATACACAATTCTTTATTGAAAACACCACAGTATAGTACATAAATGGGGTAAATACATTATGTTTAAACAAAGTGATTCAATGGGCGGTCTTATCGCTAAAAGCGATTTCTTCCAGACAACCTTTGGATGGAGAGGATTGAAAGAAACTGGAGTCGGTGGTGTTATAAAAATAAAATAAAAACAAGGGATATAAAAATGTATATAACTATATATTTTAAATATATGTACATACAGTTGTATATTTGCTTACAATTTTCATCCCAGTAAATAAAATATAATATGGAATAAATATCAAGAATTGTCAATACTTACGCATGATAGGTGATTCCTTGTGACTTTTTAAATTTATTCGTGTAGTTTTTACAGGATTTCACCACACAAGACGGCATTTTTAATTATTTTTATCAGAGCAATTGAATGTGTGACTGCCGCTGTCACGCGGGGTCAAATGGCAGCGGTTTGTCCGACCTGGTGCATTAGTGTGAGTGTAGTTAGTGTACAACAAACGATTTTGTCTGACCTTGCATGCTTCACATGATTTGCCTTTGATGTTACGTCCGTCTTTTTTTTAGGTCCGTGGTGTAAATGAATAGAGTCGAGTAGGTACGCCCGTATTCGGGTAGTTTTCGTTTTGGTTACCCGACACCGTCTTCCCGCCCGTATTCCAGTGTAAATATTGCTTCGAGTGCCCGAATTCGAATAATGACAAAGTGAAATCAAGCCATATATATATTTCGAAAACAAGATAACGATCTGTATGGATTCTTTTTCCTTTGTTGTCCTATTTGAGAGAAATTCGTAGAAATAATTTGGTTTGACTTTGACAGTGGACTGACATTGTCAACTTGACAGTGATCACTGTGATACTACAATTATTTTTGCGTTCCGTAAAAATAATATTAATTTGGTTACGTTTTCCATTTAATTAATGAATTTGGTTTGTTCTAATTAACTTACTTTACTACTTAAGATATGGTATCTTAAATCTGAATTAACTTAGCAATAATCATAAAATGTCGGCTTCTGTAAAGGAGTTTGGTAAGGCTTGGTGGTCAGAGGTGTACAATAGAATTATTGGTGCTGCTGTTTATTTAGATGATGCTAGTTCTGAATGTCTTCATTGGGACGGTGGTCTCTTGAACCTTATATTTGGAGGAGCAGTTACTGTCAAAAGTTTATCTCCATTTGAGGTGAGTCCCTTTGCATCAAAACTTTCGAACATATAAATCTATTAATTTTTGGAGTATATGCTATGCTTATAAAGCATAAGCATTTTATTGTAGCAGTATATACCCTAACGATTAAATTTATAGATCTATAAGTTCGAAACTTGTCAAAATAAATAAAATTAAAAAAGCACCCTCATATAACCTAATAAAAATATGTAAAAAAGTTATGGTAGTTTTCAGGTAAAGACCATAAGAAGGTGGTATTTATAACACAAGCTACATCTACACAACTTAAAACAATATGTGAGATTATAAAAAATAGTGATTTTTCACATTGCATTCTAATATCATGCGTGGGTTTGGATGTCATCTTCTTGGAGTTGAATGAGGGTAAAGATGTTAGTGACGTTATAGCTGCAGGGAAGGGGCAATCGGAATGTACAAAACAGCTTGAAGGAATGTTATATGAGTGGATTGGCAAGAAGGTTAGTTTTATTTTGTAGAATTCACTGATGATTTTTAAACTTCAAAAAGGAGAAGGTTCTTTATTTATCAGTATATGTATTTTTTTATAGTTGTTCTATTACAAACCTTTTGTTTATTTATCATTTGAAGTGAGTAAGGGTTGATGGGCAACAGCAGCACAACAGCAGTTGTCGCCACCATTCCATGGCTGCAGTTGCAATGCTGACGGCTGTGAGCCACTCGAATATTAACTAGAAGAAAACCAGTTAGGGTCCATGCCCTAACTGGTTTTCTTCTTGTTGCAATAGTTTGGTTAGGGTGAAATAGAGAGAACTTTTTCCAAAAAACATTATTTGAGAGAAATGTTTATTTTTTTTGTAAAGTGTGTTGCATTATCAAAATATGTAAAATCAAACTCTTTTTCACATTTCAGCAATCTGCTGTTGAAGTTGTTCATATACCAATATGTACAATATCACCCACAAATGTTGTCTTTTTGACACCCCCATACTGTAAAATTTACCCTAAATATGATGGAATGCTCATTCCTGATTCAGCATCAGTAGATCTTTACACGTTGACAAGAGAAGAGAGGTCTCAAGTCAGGAGGTTGGCAAGTAGCCTCAACAGCATGATGGATTCTATGAACCTAAAAGAAGATATATTTTATATGGGAACATACAGTTCATTGATAGCTGGCATATTAGAGAACTCACCAGTTTGTGTGTCTAGAAGAAAGGTAACTCAGTTTGTTGATGATGTTAATACTAAATACTTACTACTTATTTGAAGATTGACTTCGGCTAAGTTCAGATGGCCTCACGTCAACATGCATACTATTTGAAAAAGCAGAGTAAAATGCACCTGCTTAAAAGTTAATGCTAGAAAAGTTCTAGAAACTAATAGTAGAATTAATAAGGAAATTTCATATGTAAGAAGATTTAAAGTGTGAGTTTAACATCAGCCTCTCCTTTTCATTCTGTAAGAGAAGGACAAGAATACACTGTTGACCAATTTAACTTTAGGTTTAGAGAATCATACTAGAATCGACACCATTGATTACAAAAAATGATAATTAATTTTGTGTTTTTTTTTTCAGAACTCTACAAATCCAACATCATTAATTATTGTTGATCGGACTCTAGATGTTTGTGGAGTGACTAGCTTCTCCATGGAATCAGTTCTTGATAAAATAATGTTTGTTTTACCAAGGTTTCCAGGACATTCAAATGAAGTTGCAGTGGATATGTCTTCAGTCTGTGAAGCTAATGTGTAAGTTTTAAAATATTGAACTGAATACAGTATTTTAGGTGGTTTTGATGACGCAAAAATATATTACCTCTTTTTTCCTTTTTTTTAATTTTTTTGTTATTTTTATGTACTTACCTTATAAATAGTCAAAGCTTGTTTAAAAAAGCTTTTATCTCGTGCGTGCGTTCGTGTTTGCCTGTTTGTGTGTGAGTTAAACGAAGTTAGCAATATTATTATTACGTTTATAACACTTAAGAATCTTTATTCATCTGTCAGCTCTGTCTGATTTTATTTCATTCTCTTTTCAGTATAAACCACCCAGATGACATACAGTTGAGTCACGGCTGCCTGTTTCATGCAAAAGATGAATCTTGTGTCCAAACCTATGACCACATGATCAACAAATCGCAGAAGGAAGTCATGTTTGATTTATATAACAAATTATCCAAAATAGATGTGCAAAAGTCTCCAAGTCCAAAAACACTGCTGAAAGTCACTCCACAGAGTGTTGAGAAAATAGTGACGGCGGCAAAAGGTATAACAATTTCGTTCCTTTATAGTTATTAGCGGGTTTGCTACCTAGTTTTTGTGAGTCCCCGATATTTCATGATCGTCAAGATTATGGGACCCTGCCAGGTTTTTCAAATATAATGTAATTAGGATATAATGCAGAATTTCTGCTAATTTATTCTTTCATAGAAAAATTCTATGATCAAAGCATTTCAAAATATTCAACTAAGAAAGGATCCTGCTATTTTGGTCGGTAGCTGCTAACGACTTCAGACGCAGTTTATAATTATAACCAAGAATAATGGGATTCATTTTGTCCCAGAATTTTCTTCCTCAGTTTCTATAATGCACCGACCTCTTATCAATCTTTATTTGCAGGGAATTATGATGTCATCGGAAAGAACTTGGGGGTTTTACAGCAAGCGCTTGCTGTCGTACAAACTCTTAAATCTCCCAAACGTGCACAGATCGAGTTGCTCATGAGCTTGGAGAAGCAAGTGCTGCAGAACCTCGCCGCTAGCAGAGATTCTACTAGTGTTTTGCAACAGGTATTGTTATGATACGTCAATAATGTTACTAAATCGAATTGATATACCTCATCAGGTAGAAATATCAACAGGTACAGATTCTCTAACAGGTGATATTTTTACCTGATTTCTATTAGAGATGTTTGGAGTTGCTGGTGAATTATAGTAGATTTTTCTAAGGAGCTCTATGGTACACCCAGTGGTTACCACAGTCGGTCTGCGATTGTGAAGTTAAGCAATTATCGCAATAGTCAGGATGTATAATAATAATTTTATTCAAGAAAAATACATCACATTATATTTAAATAAAAATCTATACTATTACATTTGTGTGCAATAATCAAATTTGCTCGAACTAGGTTACATTATAATTGTACCTGTATTTCAGGCTTTCCGATGTCAAACATTATTTTAGATTTATGCTTGATTAAGTAATAATTAACTAGAATAGAAACAGCAGCATTTTAAAGGTAAAGGTTTTAGGTAAAATATATATATTTTATTTTATTAATACCTAATGCACATGCGTACAAAGGTGGCCTTAATGCCTTAGGTGTCTCTCCTCTCTCTCTCGGGAAGTCCGCATGATGTGGTAGTACATACAACAATCAAGAAAATATTAGTAATAATTCTCTATACCATTTTTCTTCAGTTAGGTAAATTAACAATCAAGAAAATATTTGTATTAAATCTTTACACCATTTTTCTTCAGTCGGGTAAATTAAAAATCAAGAAAATATTAAATAAAATTAGTTTTAATGGGTTAAAGTGATCGAACTTTATTTATTTATTGACGTTTCGCAGCCTTTTCAGGTCTGCATCGTCAGAATAATGTTTTTTTTTAGCGTTCGGATATTTTATTGGAAGATTTTTAAAACTTTATTGCCTATGTATGAATTTATTAGTTAATTTAGTTAATAAAGTACTTTATTTAAAATTCTTTTTTGTAATTTTGAGTTCATTTATTTGACCCTAACTACCGTAAACTACCACTGATTCCTAAATTGGGAGACCTTACTGACAAGAACCGAGACACACTCAGAGAGACTTTCTATCTTCATCTTATGTTAAATCATGCAAACAAAAAGAACTAATAGTATCTGCTATATTTTTCACAAAGACCGATCTGATCTGTAAGGGATTCGACCCCGTACCTTTTATTCTAAAATGACAAAGCAGGTGCATAGGATAATAGATAGGAAATGAATGTGCAGGAAGGCTGTCTGGGCTTGTTCAAAAGGGATTAAAATAATTTTAAGGGATGGATAGTCGATCATACATCGAGGGGCACTTTAAGCCTTCAAGACCAGGGGTCTATAAACTTTGACTTTTCATTCTATTATATTTAAACTAGCAAACCAGTGAACCAAATGTTCACCAAAAAAAAAAATGTATTTAATTAATTGAGAACTTCGGAGATTTTGTGTGGTTTCGTTTGAAATAGAAATCACGTGATTTCTCGAAAACTGGAAGTGCTACGTTACTCACATCCGGTTTGTAGTCTTGTCAGACTATTCTTAACTTATAACTTGAACATTCTCTATAACTATCTCTTACGGTTTGGCCGCTGAAACAGCACCACGGACGGACGGACGGACTTGTCTATTAGATAAGAGATGTTGTTACACAATTAGGCCTTATTCTCGCTATCCTTCCATCCAGCGTACACGACGCCACCCACCCGCTATCGTGTTTTAAAGCTCGATAATGTCAGAAACATAAATTTTGAGTTAAAAATAGTACATATATATAAACTTTAATTATATACATATTTTTCGCGTTGATGAAGGTTCAAAGAAGCTTAGTTGTTACATTGCTATCTAGTGCATTTTTTTATTATTTTAAGTTTAAGGTTTGCTCAATATTTGCATAAGATATCAAATTTTTATCCAAATAATTTCCAGATCTGTCATCTGATAAAAACAAGAAAAGATCGCAATCTCTCTGTGGAAAGTTTGCTAGCACTGATCACTCACATCTACTCGCTGACTGGAATAGAAATGTCCTTCTCTAAACAACATGAGGATAGTCTCACTGAGACCCTGAGCGTGGCCATATTTGAAGACCACAAGTCTTTATTTTCGAGCGATGAGACTGCTCATATTGTTACTCCGGAGCAGTGCGGTGAGATCTCGCTGAATGTTATGGCCAAGTTGAAGGAGGTTGCTCAAATGAGGAAAACATTGCATAGGTGAGTTGTAGGTGTAGATAAATGTACGTGTCATATTTCGTTTTTTGTATGATGGTAGATATTGATGACAATAAACACAGTAAAATGATGGAATAAGCTCTCCTCCACAATGTTCCCTCAGTACTATAACATGGTCCTCTTCAAGAGAGGCTTAAACAGAGTGTTCAACGAAAGGCAGTGGCATGGCTGTGTCATTGGCATTGCAATGTCTATGGGCGACAGTGAACACTTAATTCACTACGGGATATTGGCAATATTTGTGTATAAAATGGAGAAAGCCAATTGCTGAATATATTTTTTTTGGGAAATTCCTCTCTTGATAAAAAGTTAAAAGTGGTTTGAAAGTTTGTAACAGGAAAACTTCATTTCAAAAAGTTTAAATATTGTTGTGAGAGTTGTGAGTTATTGATTAATTAGTTTTCTTTTAAGCCGAGAAAAAGGCAAATATTTCTTTTTGAACTTCTTTCTCTGAGGCGATAAAACCGAAAAAGGTGTATATTTGTTTGGATCAATTTCAGTGGGAACGGAATTTTATTTTTTGTTGTGATAGTAGCTAAACAATACTGTAGGGCGGGTACGTTCACGGCCAAGCGGGAAATCGGGTGCCAAGACCACGCCCGCACTCAACCCGCAAAACGCATTGGGAGGACCGCGGTCATCAAAATGCGTGTCGGGTGAACGGTGCATGAGCATTGTCTGGTTTTTATTGGCCCTGTTCAGGGCAATAGGTAGGGCCCTGCTCATTTTATCGAGTCCCAGGGCTGGAAGAAATGACCAGGGAGGAGTCCCAGATATTTTCATCTCGCTCCTCCGGTGGTAGAATGATGCGTGCGATGCAGAATACTGTGATTCGTGTTAACGAATTAGGTGAAAATTGCAAGTGTCTACCATTATTTGTATTTCCATTAAAGAGATAGAGAGATTTAATAATTATGGTTTCTTTTGTAACTTTTTTTTATACAATCCTTGAAAACATATAATCCTGCAGTCTACTTAGTCAAAAAGTATTACAATAAATTTATACTATTTTAACACCCATAAGGTATAATTCAGTACTGAAGCCATGTGAAACTGGCACGGGTCACGAGTACAAAGGTCTTCTGCAGCAACTTGTTGAAGATCTGGTGGATACTGAGAGGCCAGAGATGACAGACCTGAAGCACAGAAACGAGGGCATCAAGGATCTTCTTCGTAGTGGACTCAAGTGAGTATCCTTGCTGTAATAGGTTTGGTCTGTTTAAGTATATTGACTTCTGAAGGTACATTGCTTGCTATGGGACTTTTTATCTTCAAAGCTTGGGTACAGTATTCCCTATGTGTAGCAATAATTAAGGTTAGTAAGTAAGCAATATTATAACAAAAAAATCAAATACAAACATGCAAGCGGAGTATCATAGTCATATGAATGACACATTTTCAGTATGAGTTAACATCTATTTTCATATGGGTAGGCTTAGTATTCCATTGTCACCTTTTGGGGTACGGAACCATAAACGCTAACACATTTTTCATTCATTTTCAGCATTCTAACAAGCAAGAAGACTAGAACCTCCAAACACCCTTTGGACAATCCTACAGTGATTTTATTTGTTGTTGGAGGTATTACTGCGGAGGAATGCAAACGGTTGCATCGCAGTGTAATCACTAGTGGAGTAGACAATACTGTACTTATAGGATCAACTAAATTAGTCACACCGGTGGAGGCAATGAGGGATGTATTAGCTTTATAGCTTATTGCAAAACCGCCATAGGGCTTTGAACTGGAAATACCGAGGTGAGTATGAAAATGTAAGCGACTACCTAATAAATAATGATAAAAATTAATTCGGGATAGTACCAGCTAGTTGTGGCAAAAATATTTATTCATGAAATGTCTATAGTATGGTCTTTTTTGTCATTGAGTATTGTGATCTCAGTTAATATTACAGTGCAACCTCGATATAAAAAATCGGAAGGGAACAATTAAATATTCGTTTTATCAAGTAATTCGTTAAACTGGGGTATGTTATATTCACAAACTATATGGTTATGCTAGCGCATCAGACGGCGAACTCCTAAGCTAAAAAAAAACGACACTATGAAGGCTCACATATAGATTTTGACTTTTGCCTTTTTTTTCGAGTGTACTTTTTATAGATACTTGGGCAAAAGTCTTTTAGCCACATTATTTCCTGTAGGATATTGGGATCTGCTTTCCAATGCTTTTATATTTGAAGGTATTTTGTAAATAAAAGATAGCACTATTTGTTATTTTTTTTATTTTTCAGTTTTGTTTTGTATTTATCAAATGCTTTTAATTGCATAACAGGCAACGTCTTATTTTGTAGGCGATGTACATCTGTGCCTTTTAGGATTTTATTAATAATGCTACACCAATTATAGATCGATATTATTAAAGAATATTCTAAAAAGTAATCTAGTACCGCATGCTTGTGAACCGCGCACTCTAACATATACTTGGAGCGATTTTTGATTTGAGCGTTTTTATTAAATTATAGTTACTTGTTACTTGTTGTGGGCCCCCGTTTCCGCACGTAGACTCTTAATTGGTCCATTGTGCGTGCAGGGTTGATTGGGCTAGCTAGCTCAGCCAGCCCAGCTCCTTCCAGAAGCGCAGATATCCTTATGCATGACTGCATGAGACCAGATTGCAGACCGGTGTTCTGCCACAGTCATGCACTCCAGGATCACATGAGCGGCCGTTTCATCTGCTTCTAGACATCCTCTGCACAGAGAACTATCTGTAACACGTATGGTTAGTAAATACCTTATTTAGCAGGCAATGCCCCGTTGTAGTGCCCAGCATTACTCGGAGATCAATTCGGTTAAGATTTAGTAGTTTTCTAGTTAGTCTTGGGTTGAGGCTAGGGAAGATAGCCTTAGATTGCCTGTAGCCCTCGGTATTGGCCCAGCGGGTGTTGTGGCTCTGTATGGTTTGCTGGCGCACCCATGCACGAATTTGGTTAAAGGGTAACGGCAGGAGCGACTCAGGGCCTTCCACTATATGTGCTGGTCCCCTTTTAGCCAGTACGTCGGCTGCGTCATTACCCATAGAGCCGCTGTGTCACTTGATCCATTGGAGGATAACCTTGTTCTCTCTTGCTGTTCGCTCCAATGTTGGGTGACATTCGTATACTAGCCCAGAAGTTTTGCTGTTACTGTCTAGGGCTCTTAGGACAGCCATACTATCAGATATTATGCGTATCTTATAGTTCGTGACTTTCCTGTTGATGACGGCGGTGGCGGCCTGAGTAATAGCATTGGAATATTGAGCTGTGAGTACCCAGTGCGGTTGATATATGGATGTTAAGGTCTAGGGAGAATACTCCTGCGCCTGATCCGGATCCTGGTATTTTGGATCCGTCAGTGTATATGCGCATTTCGTCTGTGCCGGACCAGTCCTTGTTGGCTTCCTGTAGTTCTATTTGATATTTCTTATCAAATGTGTGTATAGTCGGGATTTTGTCACAGCGGGCTATTACAAGGGGTTGGTGTTTTATAGCCCTTTCCAAAATCTTGGAGTGAGGTCCCTGGTATTCCGTCCATAGGCCCAGATGATACATTCTTAGCGCTGCCATTGTTGCCTCTTGCTGTATGAACAGATCAAGTGGCAGTAGGTCTAGCGCTATTTCTAGGGCGTTTGTCGGTGTGGATTTCATGCAGCCTGTAATTGCTGAACTTGCAAGTCTTTGAAAACGCTGCAGTTTGTTTTTAACGGTGGTTAGTTCGGTTCTAGGCCACCAAACTATTGCACCGTAGGTGATGAGTGGTCTGATTATGGTTGTGTAAAGCCATTTTGTGATTTTTGGTGCTAGACCCCAGATTTTACCGAGTAGTCGTTTGCACTGCCAAAATGTGATGCAGGCTTTGTTTATCTTATGGTCTAGGTGACTGTTCCATGTCAGCTTATGGTCAAGGATTATGTCTAGATATTTGACCTCGTTAGACAGTGACAGTTCCGTGTTAAATAACTTGGGCAGTTTAACAGCATCCAAATTACGTTTCTTTGTGAACATGACCATCTCTGTTTTGGTCGGATTCACCGATAGTTGGTGTTTGATACACCAGTTTTGGACTAGTTTGAGAGCATTACTTATTAAGTTGCACAGCACATTCTGGAATGGCCCGCTTATGAGAATCACTATGTCGTCTGCATAGCCTACTGTGTGGTAGTTGCGTTGATTGAGCTGGCAAATTAATTCACCCACCACAATGTTCCAAAGGAGAGGACAGGACTCCTCCCTGTGGGCAACCCCCAGCCACTACGGCTCTATTCGTAGTGTTCACAGTCACTTGTACTGCCCTATATTTGAGTATGTTGTTGATCCATCCCGCAGTTGTGGAGTCAATGCCATGTCTCACAAGTGCTTGGCTAATGCTGGTAAAATAAGTTTTGTCGAAGGCGTCTTCAATATCTATGAAGACTCCCAACGTTGATTGTTTTGGTAATAGTCCGCTTTCTATTTGCTTGACTACGTTATGTAGTGCGGAGTCAGTGGATTTGCCCATGCTGTAGGCATGTTGATTTGCATGTAGTGGTACTCGCTGCAAGGCATCATCCCTCAGGTCTCTGTCACACATCCTCTCCAGTACCTTTAGGAGAAATGATGTGAGACTTATTGGTCTGTATGCCTTAGGTTGCGTGTAGTCACTTTTGCCTGGTTTTGGTATGAAGATGACTTTCACCTCTCTCCATTTGGTGGGTATGTACCGATAAGATAAGCATCCTGTATGGATGCGTAGAAGATGCTCGAGTATCGATCGATTCACCACACCATTGCAGTAGGCCTGGAAAAATGCCATCCAGTCCAGCTGCTTTAAATGGGAGGAAGCTTTTGATGGCCCATGTTAATGTGTTAGGTTTAATAATCATAATCATAATCATAATCAAAATCATTTATTCAGTTTAGGCTGTTACAAGCACATATGAATGTCTAGAAGCTACGCCATCGGTTCGTAAATCTACGGCGGGAGACCTTGTACTGAGAAGAACCGGCAAGAAACTCAGCAAGGGCTGTTTTTTTCTCCCTGTTTTATTATTTACAGAGTCATCAAATTGAAAAATGACTTCAGAGGTGATTCATGAAGTCACTTTTCATTACATAATTATTAAATATACATTAATTGTTTACCTGCATTTTGATTGCTGTGTCATACAGTATAAATACAAATAGTGTTATTTATATTCAGTGTGACTAAACATTAACTTCAATATTAAGGAAGTTAGGGCAGACTCATCTCCGCTGGCAGCACCCGTTCACGAGCATGACGCATGAACCAGCCATCGCTTCGCTCAACCATATTTTAGGGAACGCAACGACTTAATAGTTAATGATTTTGTTTGCAGTTGCCCAATCAGCTGATTCCGGATTTGCAAATGTTTCACCTTCATTCTTGGTTGTCTTTAGTGTGACAGCCTGGGAAGTGAGTTTGCAGCAGTACTTCACAGGTTTCAGCGTCAGTTTTTGTAAAGGTGTTATCAGCTTTTTTGAGTGAACCTAAGTTGCGTTCAGGGTAGCTGCTTAGGATTTTCTTCACTCTTGCAGTATGGTTGTTGTCTTGGATGTCGCTACAGAAGCGCTTCCAGCTTTCAGCTTTCCTGAATCGGATGCACTTCTTTGTGCACCGCGATTGTGCTTCCTTGTAGCGAATCCAATCGTGTTCTAGTCTGGTGTTTTTTGCTCTGTTGAACATCTTCCTTACCTTGTGTCGCAATTTAGATAGTTCAGGACCCCACCAGTTGTTACTTTTAGCTGTTGTGCGTTGCTGTGTGAGTGGGCAGGATCGCTACACGACCCTTTTTTGATTATTTTAGGAATTTTAGCACCAAAAATCGGTCCGCTCTGCATAAAATCCTTCTACGTGATTTTTTGATTGGATTATATCAGAGGGTGCCCCCTAAGTATAAAACCGAGTTTCTGTCGCCCGAAACCGCGAGCGTTAGCCGCCATCTTGGAAACCGTTTTTTAGCATATATCTCGGAAACGGTAAGTTTTACGTTAAAAACCGAAGAGATCTTTTTTGTAGAGAACAAAATTTCCCATCTTTTTTATACCAAACTTTTCCCCCTATTGTTGATATTTTCCGATATATTGAAGAAAAAAAACCAAATTTTTTGTTTTTGTAAAGTATCTCAATAATTTTTGGAGATACGAAAAAAATGTTTGAATTAAAGTTGGAGAGCATGAAATTTTCTACAAATTTTGTATAAAACTTTTTCTTGCTAAAGCTTTCTTTCTTGCGACAGAAACTCGGTTTTATACTTGGGGGGCACCCTCCGACATATCCAATCGAAAAATAACGTAGAAGGATTTTATGCAGAGCGGACATCTAAAAATCTTGGACTACATACGAACCACAGGATTCCAGACACTCGACAGTTTAAACCCGTCCTCACGATTGAAATTTTTATGTTTTGTTATTTCAATCGCTTCCCTGACCAATCTTAGTATGTAGTGGCGTTCTGTCGAGATAATCTTCGTTGTGTGTTGAGAATGATGATCTTCAGCGAATTTCGGACTGGTCTCGCAATTTCGGTATTAAAGTCAATCCGAATAAATGCCAGGCCATTATCCTGGGCAGCTCTCGTCTTTTGGCGAAGGTGGACATGAGCTCTGTTGCGTCTCTCTATTTTGAAGGAACCCCAATAAAGTTTTCTCCTGAAGTTGTAGACCTGGGTATACAGATTGACCATTCTCTCAATTGGATAGCACAAGTAGACGCTATAAGCTGTAAGGTGATCGGTATACTTCGGTCATTCTACCAATTCAAAAATTTTCTTCCAATATCTTCAAAAATTCTCTTGGTTCAATCCGTAATTTTGCCCATTATAGATTATGCTGATGTGTGTTACGCTGACATATCTCAAGAACTTCTTAACAAATTGGATCGATTGCTCAACAACTGCATTCGTTTTATTTTTTGTCTCCGTAAATACGATCACGTTTCTGCCTTTCGGAAGAAGTTAAATTGGTTAACAATTCGCCAACGTCGAAATTTCAGAATTCTTTCCACCCTATATTCAATCATTAATGATCCATGTGCTCCTGGATATTTGAAATGTAAATTTCGGTATCTTGGCAGTATCCATAATCTGAATCTTCGGTCTAGCAGCAAACAAACTCTAGCTTTTCCCTCTCACCATACTGGTTTTGTTTCCAACTCATTTTCTCTTCAAGCTATACGACTCTGGAACGCACTGCCTCCTCATATTCAAGATGCTCCGAACAAACTGGCTTTTAAACGCTCCGTACGTCATCATTTATTAGATTCCTCCTCCGCATCCTCCTGATATGATATGTATTTGTATGTATATATCTAAATATATATATATATATATTATTATTTATGTATTTTTATAGATATTTATTTTATGTAGTATATATATTATCTTGTTTACATAGACATAAAAATATAATAAGTAATTTGATGAATTCTTTTTGCACTACCTTAAAATTTTTGCTAAAATTCTCCGGTTGACTGGTAGAGAATGCCTAATGGCATTAAGTCCGCCACTTGTACATACTTTTGTGCAATAAAGTATAAATAAATAAATAAATAAATAAAACAGTTTCGAGTGAATAGTGAGAATGTGAACAGTGGTACGGGTATCGAATGCAATAAAAGACTTCGTCGGAGGGTAGACCGATATGTCTGTCAATAAACAGCCTACCCGCAATTACTTTAGTTACTCCGTGATCATGGCGCTTGCAACAGTGCCGAAATATCGGAAACTCGCTAAAAACAAGGTACATGGT